ATGCATCACCCTGATGAGTCTAGGCCTTCGTGAGATTGGAGGCGGGAGGTGATTGCAGGAAAACAGCCTGAAAAGACCGAGATGTGGGGTGGTCAGAGAGCAGCAGAAATTAAAGATGCAGAGAGTTCTGTCTAGGCCTTTATCCTGTCCTCCAGCCCACTTCCCTCCTCAGAAATGCCTCCCTGGCTGTTCACTCGGAAATCACCAGCTTATTTCTCTGATCACACACTAATTCTCTGCATACCATTTTTTAAAAAAAATTTTAATTATGGTAAAAAGCATAATATAAAATTTACCATCATAACCTTTTCTAAGGGTTGTGTGCTCAGTTGTGTTAAGTACATTCACATTGTTGTGCGACCATCGCCTCCATCCACATCCAGCTGAAACTCTGCCCCCATTAAACACTTTCTCCCTATTCCCCCCTCCCAGTCCCTGGCAACAACCCTTCTACTTCCTGTCTCTATGAACCTAACTTCTCTAGGGACCTCATAAAAGTGGAATCATCCGTATTTGTTCTTTTGTGACTAGCTTGTTTCACTGAGCACAATGCCTTCAAGGTTCATCTGTGTTGAAGCATGTGTCAGAATTTCCTCTTTAAGCCTGAGTGATATTCCATTATATGTATAGACCACATTTTGTTTTCCTGTTCCTCTGTTGATGGACCCTTGGGTTGCTTCCACATTGTGGCTACTGTGAATAATGCTGCAGTAAACGTTGGGGTACAAATATCTTTTTTGAGACCCTGCTTTCAATTCTTTTGGATATATACCCAGAACTGGGATTGCTCAGTCATATGGACTCACTCTCTTCATCAACCCCAAAAGGGTTGGCCCTCAAAGCCCACTCTGAGCTCTGAGGCTGTCTCCAGCGATGCCTGGTGTGGCTGCTGGGGAACAAGGGCCCTCAGAGCCCCCAGCCTGTGGGGATGGCTGTTGCCCGGCAGTGCCAGTCTCCTGTGTGACACTAAGAACAAGGCCATCTTAGAAGAACCGGGAGCCTCCCGTGGCTGCTTTATTTCAAGCCCCTCCCCCGACTTTCCAAACAAGCAACCTTTTTGAGGAGGAATAGGGAGAAACGAGTTACTAGTGCCCACTTCCAGAGTTCATAGATGTTGGCTTTGTGAGTCTTCCTTTTTCCTCCCTCTCTTCAGCTCTGAGGCTTGTCTGCCTTCCTGCAGGGCCGGCCAGGGCTGCCTCCCTTCCTCACGTGTCCTCTGCTCCCTGTCTAACCTCCTAACGGCATGCTTTCTGAGCCTCAGTGGCATCAATGTCATGACTAATGTAGGGCTAACATCGAGCTGGGTCACTTAATGAATCCATCTTGCCAGGTAATTAGAGGGCCAGGAGGAGGGTGGAAAGGTGTTGTTTTGTAAAGCCTATTGAAGACTCTTCTTCGTGTCCAGCAGGGACCGATGTTCAAAGCGGAATTCGAGAGCCACATCCTTTGGAGTGCGATGCATTTAATTGGGCAGCATCCTGCTTGAATTCAGAGCTGGGGCACTGGTTGTGTATCTTGGCAGCCTAATGGATAATTTCATGGATGTTTTTTAGAGAAGATGAGCTGAAAAAAATTAGGTGACCAAGTCTGCCCTCACAGCATCCCAGCTGTCCTGCATCTCTCTGTCCTGGCAGCCAGGTGTTCTCTGAGGAATGTTTTGTTTTGAGGACGGGGCTTTTGTTTTTCATATGGGCCAGTAGCAGGCAGATGTGTGGGTACCATACCTAGGTGGACGGGGATGTCCTGATCCCTGGTCCAGCACTCACCACGACCTCAGAGGGCTTCCCCAAGGAACCCGCAGACTTTTAAGAGAACCAAGACGATTAGGTCCAACGGTGAGGGACAAGTCTAGTCTGTAATAAACTCAAGCATTGTGTGGTTCAATTAAGACATCCGTATCTTGGAACCTCTTTTTTTTTTTTTTTAGATTGACACCTGAGCTAACATCTATTGCCAATCTTTTTTTTTCTTCTTCTCCCCAAAGCCCCCCCAGTACCTAGCTGTATATTCTAATTATTGGTCCTTCTGGCTCTGCTATGTGGGTATATAGAGTTTTGTAAAGAGTAAATAAGTTCCAAAAATGGAGTCCAGTTCCATAGGACTTTGTATGTATTTATTGTACATATTGATAAATCTACCAAATGTCTGGTGTCATGATAATGTCAAGAAATGTTTGTTTCACTGGTCAGGTTATTGTTGAGGGACTCAGATGTATATAAATACTATGAACTAATGGATCCACATCAGTCATTCCCTTGAGTATTCTTTGTATCAACCCCTTATTATTATGGTTTCAGATAGTTCTTTACAGGAAGATCTTCTACTAACATCCTACCCAACTGTGTCAGATATTACAGGACAGTTAGTGTAGGTGTTATCATTTCTGTTTATTCGAACTGATTCCTATCCATTTGAAACTTTCATCTAAACATTTCTAAAACCTGCTTAACTTTGGTGAGTTTGGGCAAACTGTTCACTCCATTGGCCCTGTAGAATTAGTGTATTGTTCACATATCGAGCCCTGCCCTAGCCCAGAACGTGTTTTCTATTAATTGTGTCTTAAACAGTTATCATTTAGGACTTCCATTCCCTTCACCATCTCTCCCCCTTATCCCTCAGGGTGTTCTTCATATTTTCTGTTTCTCTCACTTGTACACAGGCATCCTCTCCCCCTCCCCCCACCAAAGATAGAAATTGATCCTCTTCTAAGATCCCCAACGCTGGGGCGATGTCTGCACATTATGCATCATCCCTAACGAGCAGAACTGCAGGAACCCCGTTAAATAAACGCTTCTGCTGGGAGCCCAGGGAGGCTTGCTGAGTAGAGGCAGTCATGAGCCCACCTCAGCTGCATGGCTTCAGTTTGAATTGCAGAAGTTTCTGCCTTAAGCACATACTCCAGAGGTTTAGGTTTTCAACTTGTGTTCAAGGTGATATGGAGCAGGGCTAGAATTAGTGGGAGAAATTTAATACCAGCGGAAAGGAAAAACGGCAGCATTTCAATCCCCACAAGGTATCTTTGCCTTTTTCTTTCACGTGAGCTAAAATTTCCAAAACCGAGTGGAAACACTGTCTGTCCTTCTCCCACCACCCCCCAACCCAGGCCTGCAAGTACAATACCTTGAATTTGCTTGTGGTGTTCTTGAGTTCACTGACACTTTAGTTCACTGACAGTGTCCCATAGCATGAGATGGAAATGTCATCCTTGACAATGAGAAACACACCCTGACCTTTCTCAGGGAACATCTGGTGATTTTTTAAGTTTCCAGATTATCGTTAGAAAGGTGGGCCTTTCTCTCAGAGAGCTTCCAGTCCAGTTGGCTGTAAGAGTTTTGCCAAGAAGAAAGAGCATATTTGGGGGAGAAGACACCTAGGCCCCTTTGGTAGAGGAGAAGAATGTTGTAAACTTCTGCTCTCGTCTACACTCAGTGTTACAGAATGGAGCGTGTCTCACAGGCAGGCCGGGTATACGAGACAATCTCCAGGGAGCTCACTGAGGGAATTGGAGTTACATCACGGAGAAAACAGAGCAGAAGGGGCAGCCTGGCAGGCTCAGACCAGGCTGTCCTATAAAGACAGGTTTCTTGAGCTGCAACTTAGCACGCAGACCACCGTCCAGTTCATCCATCGTGTTAGAATCTGACGCTATGGGAGTTAAAATACTTAAGGCCGGACAGATGGTGTCTGAACGAGTGTCAGAACTTAGACCTCCTGAATAGCTGTCTAATGCCACTCAGATAGCAAAGGGAGATCATAGTTGTCAGGAAATATACAAAAGGAAAGGAAATGGCGTCTCAAGGGACATTGAGGCCTGTTGTCTGAGTAGTACTAACAGCAATGGTTACTCAGTAAAGGGTTTTGTTTCAGTGCCCTTCGAGTCTTGCAGGAGTAAGTGCTGCTGCATGAACTGAGGTTTTTGTGTCCTCTCGGCCTTCAATTCCTGAGAGAACTATCCCGATTCTCACTGTCCATACTTGACGGACTTTTGACCACCTTGACCTCGGGCCTCCCAGCACACCCACCTGGCAAATGTGGACCCAGCTAGAGTGGGGCCAAGCACTGAGGTCAGCTGAGCAAGAAGCAGAGTCTCTGGAGCCGTTGGTAATACTGCATTTTAAGGGAGGGGTTGAGGGCATGTGGGAATTAGTCACATGCGTGTTAGGTGTAGGCTCCCATTGTCAGTTTCCAGGTAAAAAGATTCTGTAACGGCGTCGCCCAGCCCTTTACACGTGCCAGACATCCTTATATGTGTGTCCTGGTCCGCGTGGAGCCACTGGGTGAGCTGCCTGACGGCAGTGTCCTATGTTAGGCAAACTGTGCACGTCCTGTTGCTCCTCTAGTGACTCCGGGGCCATGGAAGGGACTAAGGAGCGGCATTCTCTGCAGAGGGCAGACGCCAGATGTGAGGCTGCATACCTCCTTCCCAGGGCCACTCCCTGGTCTGCGCAGCCCTGCCAGGAACAGGGCTTCCTGGTCTCCTGACTGGTCCCCTGCCCCAGCCTCTGCCTCGCCAGGCGCTGCTCCTACTGCCTTCATCTTTCTAGAGCACAGCACAGATAATGTGGTTCTGCGGCTTAACGGCCAGCGTTCGCTGCAGCGCACACGGTAGGAGCACAGTGTGATTTCTTAGTTACCATGTGGCTGCCCTGGAGGTGATGGCAGGAAAGCCAGGGAGAGCGGTGCCCGCCGTCGTCTTGCGCACAGACTGGAGAGAGAGACGCATCCGCCCTTAGTCCCCCTGTTCAGGCACAAGGAGGGCAGTGGCCGGAGTCCCCGGGGAGGCGGGCTCTGAGCCGGGAGGGCTCTTTCAGTTTATTGCCCGCTGTTCTCGGCGCTGCAGTCCCCCTCTTTACTCTCTACACCCAACCCTCTCCTCCACGCGCTCATCTGTACCCTTCCTTCCACCTGAAGTGCCCTTCTTCCTCCCTCCGCAATCTGCATTTCCACTTTCTACCAGTTTCTCCTGCGGTCAACTCAAAAGGGCCCTTTTTCTTTTTTGTTTAAATATGGAATGCTTCTCGAATTTGCATGTCTTCCTTGTGCAGAGGCCACTCTGGCCTGCTCTGTATTGTTCCAATTTTAGAACACGTGCTGCCTAATTGAGCACCAAAGGCCTTTCCCTTACAGAACTTCCCATTCCCCACCCAGCTGGGGTGGGCCAGGCTCACTGGGACCTAGCCCTCAGCCTCTGAACCCCGCCCTTGCTCTCTGTGGACCCCACCCTCACTCTCTGGACCCCGCCCTCACTGTGAACCCCCTCCGCCTTCCGTTGGCCCCTCTCACTGTCCGGGCCGTCTCTGTCCAGCTAGCCCGCAGGTAAATGTGTGGCCCATCGGGTTTCTTACAAATGACCCAACACAGTGTTTGTACGGATGCTAAAATATTTGTAACATAAGTGAATGAATTAAGGATTGATGCAGGGTGGCTGAAAGTCGTTCGAAATTTAGGAGACGGGAAAAAGGATAATGAGCTTTGAGAGATGGGAAAGTCTTCCTGTGGAAAGGAGGGCTTGAGATAGATGAGAAAGCACATTCTGTAGTGAAAGGGATGTTGGTGACCGAAATGGGAGCTACAGGATATAAGCAGAGGTGAGGTGAAGGGTCTGTGAAAGGTGCCGGAGCTGGGGGCGCTCTAACCTGGCTCAGAAAGGTGGCTCAAGGGGAGATTCGCTGTGCACCAGGATTTGGTGTTGGTCTCATTTGGCCAAGGCAGAGCAATGGTTAAATGACTTACTCCAGTCAGACAGTGAAGCGGAGAGGATGAGGAGGAGGCTGGCTGTCCACGCTTTGGTCTGGCTTCTCACGGGCGGGGCCACTCGGAAATGATGGCCTGGTAAACGTTTGTGTTCTGAAGCGAGGTTTGGTATTTACTGCTGTGCTCTCACTGGCACAATTGTTAATAAAATCGGCAAGATCTTTATTACCTCAAATGCAGTGTGTTTTTTCAAAGAAATATATATGGCTATAAAATATTCAAAGTTGAAATATGGAAGAGGCTTCCTAATGCCTGCTAGAAATAGAATTGAAATACATGTAGCACTAAATGAATTTATTTCTACTACTAAAATTCCTACTTTAGCAGCTACGTAAAAAACAAATTCAAGTAAATAGACAGGCGTGTGTCTTCCTCCGAGGGGGGTGTTTTAAGAAGAATAGAGACAGTTGATGGACTTTTATATCTGGATCTCTTCTTTCTGCCCCATTAAACCAGAAATTGGTCTTTGTCGGTAGTGACCTAGTATGTGTGCGCAAGGCAGGATAATTAACTGGAAGGGGGCTAATTGCTCATCTGTCGTATTTAACGCCAGCCTTGTGTATTCAATACAGATGTAAACATTGGAGGCTGTAAGCCCCTTCCCTGGAGAGAGAGTGTATACAGAGCAGTAAGTTACATCTGCGGAAAAGAGGGTGTGCAGCCCCACTGAGCACTTTCTCCCGGGAACCGCTGTCTGCCCACAGTCATAGCCGCCGCACTGGCCCCCTGGCCCATGTTGACCCTGGGTGCTAAAGCTCACTGTTGCGTACTGCCACTGCAGTCAGTGAATGGTTTGGTTGGATGCGTAATTGTGCTGAATATGTGGGAAAGCAATTAGCTTCCTGAGGGTCAGTAGCTGATAATTCTATTTCAAAACACAGAACGTGCTCAGATAGAATCATGAGAATTAATCAGACTCAACCGCAGTTGCATAAGCAATATTTTGACAGGGGTGGTATGTTTTGAAGCTGGGAGTACTGAAAATGTTCAGTGATGAATAGGAGTGGATAAAGCAACTATCAAGTAATTCATTTTCTCTTAGGCTTGCTTTTAATTTTTTTCTGCTTTTTTTTTCCTGGTAGCTCATTGTCATTTAAAGTCTCACTTCTTGTAGTTATTAAGATGATTTTTTCCTAAAAACATATTTTTTGTGTGAAATAAAGAATGTCTGAGTTTCCGTTCCAGACTCCCTTACTCCTGCCCATATCACCTTTATTCACTTCGTTTTCTGCACTCACTTTTTGGCCATCGTTAGTACCCCTGCCACTGTTAATTAGATACCAGATTCCATCAATTCGCTCTTTAGAAATGCTTCTTAAAACCCACAGCTACCATCCTAATTCCAGCCCAAATCTATTAGACTCCTAAAAGGTTAAAGTGGGACAGGATGTCTGAGATTGTCTGCCCCCCTGCTCAAACCCCCACTCAGACGGTCTGCCCTGCTCAAACCCCCACCCAGACGGTCTGCCCTGCTCAAACCCCCACCCAGACGGTCTGCCCTGCTCAAACCCCCACTCAGACGGTCTGCCCTGCTCAAACCCCCACTCAGACGGTCTGCCCTGCTCAAACCCCCACTCAGACGGTCTGCCCTGCTCAAACCCCCACTCAGACGGTCTGCATTGTCCGGATGGCACTTGTCTTAGTAACAGGTCTAGCACTGAAGCCCCTCCAGTCTTGGGCTCTGGCCGTGCATCATGCTGGTTGACATGTTGAGATCTTGGAGCAGCTTCTCAACCCCTCCTCCTCCTCCCGAGCTCTGACCCATCAAACCAGCTGTCTATTCTGCCCCGAGTGATTCTTCCTGAACCGTCACTTTATCGCTGTCACTTTCCTCCTCCCTGGCTGCCCATTGCCTTTAAACTCTAGCTTTTCCTTTAGGATCATCATAGTTTGATTTCACCCAGTTTTACCAAGGCACCCCCTTCATTCCAGCCAGTCTTCTCTTGGTCCTCCCAACTTCTCATGGTCGTTGCTGGCTCCACCTCTTTGCTTGTATCATCATGTCCACATGGAATGCCTGTTTTCCCTTCTGTCTATTTGGAACTTAGGTTTGAGATTCCCCTCGGTGTCCACATGTTCCCTGAGACCTATCATCATGTCACTTATCATCTAGACTGTGCTGACCTCCTACTTCTGCATGATTATCTTCTTCTGTCCGTCCATCTGCATCTGAGTGCTTGCCATGAGCAAAACGTGATGCCATGGAGGGGACACAAAGACACATTGGGCTTGAACCTAGCCACACAGCTTGCAGTCCAGCACAGGCATCAAAACATGCATGCAGGTGGCCGGCCCGGTTAAGTTCACATGCTCAGCTTCAGCAGCCTAGGATTCATGGGTTCAGATCCCAGGCATGGATCTACACGCCACTCATCAAGCCATGCTGTGGTAGCATCCCACATACAAAAAATAGAGGAAGATTGGCAAAGCTGTTATCTCAGGGGCAATCTTCCCCAAGCAAAAATGGGAAGATTGGCAACAGATGTTAGCTCAGGGTTAATCTTCCTCCCTGCCCCCCCCCCAAAAAAAGCACACAAATAATTCTGAGGCTAGGTAGAATATAATTAATAATATGTATTTTTTTAAATGTAGGTAACGTTGGGCCTGTTTGTACTAGTTTAGATTTATCTCTGTGTCCCAAGAGAGACAGTCCGGTATAGCGGTTAAGAACTCAGATTCTGAAGTCAGAGGATGTGTTGCCATAACTAAATGTGTGACCTGGGGCAGTATGTAACCTTTTTGGGCTCAGCTTCCTCATCTGTAAAGATGGAGGTAGCAAAAGTGCTTATCTCCCAGGGTTGCCGTGAGGATTCAAGGAGTTAACACGGAAAGTTCTTCAGAGAGTGCCCAGCACACAATAAGGACCAGATAAGTGTTAGCCATTATCACCTCCCTCACCATTACCATCATCATCATTGTCATCATCTCCATCATTGTTGTCTCCTATGCTCAAATCATAAAGTTGGTATCTCCCTGGCCATGTACTGGATGCTTGGTCAACATTTGCGTGGAAGATACCTGGCTTCTCGTGGGTGCACTTTTGCTTCAGGATCAGCAGAGTGAGTGGCCTCCATCTCTCCCCCGCCTTCCTATGCCTGGTGCAGCACTATGTAGGACAGTGTTCTAACATGAACTGGCTGAGGATGGCTGCGTCAGGAGTCCCCACGACCACCCTCAAGATTGATGATTCTCTAGGAGCACTCACGGGACTCAGCATCTTGTTTGGCTATGATTTATTACAGAGAAAAATAAGCAAAGGGAACAGGCATGTGGGGCAAAGCCCAGAGGAGGCCAGGTGCAAGCTTTCTAGAGTCCTCTCCCAGTGCAGTCACACAGGATGTGCTTCATTCCTCCAGCAATGGATTGTGACAACACATGTGGAGTGTCTGCCAGGGAGCTCACTAGAGACTCAGTGCCCAGGGTGTTATCGGAGGCCGGTCACACACGCACCCTCTGCCTGGCACACACCAAGCTCCTGACTCTCAGAAAAAGCAAGTGCTCAGCATAAACCACAATGTCTGTACAAACAGCGTAGGCACAGCAGCCATGCCTGTCAGTTCGGGGACGGACGGATGACTCCTGAAGTCCAAGTTCCCAGACATCACCTGGGTCGGCTTACAAGGGGCCTTTCTGAGGCGCGCAGTCTCTGGTCTGCTGTGTTGACTCCTTTCTGCACAGCAACACAGGCTGAAGTTACATGTGGGGGAAGCTTTGAGTAATTGGAGTCTTATAGAAAAAAGAGAAATCTCATCCCTTTTAGCATATTTTAAGCACGTCATAAATATTTGATGATGAAATAATTATGGAGAGAAAAAAGATTTGAGGCCAAGATTTTGAGAAGAAAAACAAATCAGAATTTGAAAGAGAATTTTGGCCTAAGTTCTCCAGTAATTTCTGCATTCGAAGTCTCACACCTAACACCTGTGTTGTGCTTCCAGCTCTTGGTGAGCGATGCGAAGGGCTGAGCTGGGAAGTCTGAGCCTGTCTTGAGCCCCCAAACAGTGAGGATGGGAGACGCAGGGGAGTCCTGATTCCCCAGGCACAGAGCTACAGGCAGGCTGGTCTCCAGCATTTGGACTTCATACCCTACGTGCATTCCTTTCACACAAGAAAGTAAAGCTCAGGGATAGGAACCTCTCCCTGGCTGCCTTGTCCTGCCCTGCTCTGTTTGTGTTACTTGCTCTTAGCATCGGTTCCCATCCTTCCTTGAGCTGGGTAGGATTCCCAATCCAGCTGTGAAGAGGAATCTGCACGCTTAGACGTTAGTGCACCTTGCCATTTTTATTTTGTATTTTAAAATTCCTATTTCCTGCTACCTCTTACTGCATTCACACCCTACTTTGAAACACCAGA